CTTGCATCATGATGGCACACAGAAGCATGAAACAAGTCTGCAATGTGAAGCATGTCTCTCTCCAATCCCCAACATGACAGCGCTGCCTTTTGTGACCAGGCATTTTGAAAGCACAAATTGCATTTCAGATCGTTTGTCCTTCAAATTAAAATAGCTCTAATAGACTGAGGCAAATGAAATATAACTAGAAAGCTTCTTATGCATATGACCCACCAACTGTAATTCCAGGATGATCAGTTCAGCTGCTGTGAATCTAGGCTGAAGGGATGAAATTAAGCAGAATATTTTTCACACATAGCAAAACAAAGAACTTACACCACAAAACAGAACACACTGCAAATTATAGCATGTGTAAGAACCGGGGTTTTACAACTAGTAAAAGCTGAAGACTGTTTTCATCTGTCTCACTTATAATTTGTACTTCTGTATTATTTGTTATCTCTTATTTCACTGTGGTTTATGAACCTTGGACTAGATCTTCAGCAAGCAGGAATCAGCTCAATACTGACTTTAAAAAAAGCTCTCTTCAATTACAGTACCTGAAGTGATTAACTGACATTGCATGAGTCTTATAGACAGATTGGACATGTAATGACACCAGCTGACAGTGCCCTCTGGTATGAATTTTCTCAGATTAGTAGCATTCTGCAAAATCGTAACTTGAAACACTGGTTGAAGCTCTCCTAAAGCATTCTAACCACCTTAAACACGGACAAGCCTGTATCGCTTTGTGCATTTTACACATTGCTATGTATGCCACATTTCTGGTACCTTCCAATATAATAAATCACATCACACAATTAAAACACTTCTGAGACTGCAGATACAGTCCAGTGCACATTACTTATAGTACATAACAGTTCAATAGGCTACTGTCTTCTCATTGTGTTTATATTGGAAAGGCAGCCCATCAAGACAGCTTGGATATGACTGTTCATGTTAAGACAAACACTGGCACGATAAGGGAATTTTTACACATCATATGGATATTTTTTCCTATTCTGTATTACAGATCTGTTCTAATGCTTTGTATGTTGCATTTTCCTTACCAGGATGAAGCATGCTGCACTTAAGCACAGATGTACAGGAAATCCCACTACAGTATAGTTCCTCCCTATGAACAAGCTACATGTTTTTCTGTTTTTTATAAGCAGAGACTGCTTATATTAGCACTAACAGCATTGCCTCACACTACTGTTTTTCTGGAACATTAATAAAGATTTCATTTAATTCAGAGAAGGAGAAAGAACAAAGAAATTGAGAACTGTCCACAGCACGTGGAATAGGAAACATAGGAGGAGTCCACAGAACATGATGTAATTGCCTGCAAAAACACACGTGCCTCCTGCCTTCCTCCCAGAATGGATAATTCATGGTATGTACAGGCAGTTGGAGCAAGGCGGCTTCCTTAGGTACTCACAGGATCTCTGCCCTGTCATTCAGGAAGCATGAGCCAAGTGGCTCTCTACTGATGTTCACACTGCTAAGATAAGAAGCAAAAGGCTTTGCCTCCTCACCACCACCTCTGTTTCACCCTAAGATGCTATCTGCAGAACTCAGCTAATGACAATTCAACCCATTGAAAATGAGGAAGTAACCAGGCACTTAAATCCAGCAGAAACTTACCTAACCAAACCAGCTCTATCAGCCCCTTTTTAAGAATGGCATTCAATTCTAGAAGTTTGTCTTTGTGACTCTTCGATAAGCATTAAGTCAGTACAATTCAGCATTCAGACATATTTGCATTTCATCTGCCAGAACAAAAACAATTCACCTTGTTTGGTCTGAAATGTCAATAGAAATACATTTACCAATAATGCTTCTGTAACTTATCATACCTTTGTAAAATATTGAGAAAATGCTTTGAAGACCTTTATGCCAGGATAAAAACACTGATATGTCACATGAAACCTAGCTCCTTGCTTGCAAGTCTGTGCACCCAGTTATGAAGCTGGTGGATGATTCTGGAAACATCTCTCATCGTGAAGGAACATAGATATTAGCGGAGCTCAATCTGAAAGCAAGTTCACACTACACCTACTTGCTATTCTTCCTATCATCTCTAAGTTATGCAGTTCTTTCAAGGCATACTTTAAATGTGGTGAGCATTTCACAAAACTGTGAGTAGCAAACTCTCCTTCACAGCTCTTCAGGAGCTTGGTGGGACAACAGGGCCTACAGGTAGCTTCAAACTGAGAAGCCAACTCAGAGCTCTCCAGTGCACGCAGAAGTCTCATTTCACAGAGGTTTCATTTCAACATAAACATATATTTCCTAGTCATCTCAACACAAAGGTGGCTTGGCAGAATCACAGACAGAACTGAGAAAACTGCAGGAAGCTTCAATTTTGAGCAGGATGAACATACTGAACTGGGATCACAACTACTTCTAGAGTAATCAAGGTCTTATCAGCAGTTACCTCTCATGAATGACATATTAACCTGGCTGCCTGATCTAAAGCTTTTCTCAACCATCTTCTGCAATAGAATAAGGATTAGATTCTTATGGGATTTGAAGCTATTATAAAGTCCCAGAAACAGAGCTTTTTCATTGTTTTTGCTGTAAGAAACAGAATATGGCTTCTGTAAGTGGCAGCCACTGAGTTCATAGTTTCATGAATTGTTCTGCTCAGGGAAACCTCCCCACAAAGCAGCCTTTCCAAGCTCAGCTGCCTTCACAGCAAAGCGGAAATGGGTCCCAATAGCCCCCAGCATCAGAGGAACATGGTAACTGAATGAACCTTGCGGGTTGCAACCTTCCAGCACCACAAAAGTATGCAGATCCAACTCCAACTGTGGCAAAAAACATCATCAAGGAAGACAGGACACTGCGAGCTCTAAGGTTAAAAGCAATCCTTAGTCTTCCAAAGACAATGCAAAAAATGCAGTTTAGGATACTAGTGCTGCCCACTGTGTTAGCATTGTACGTGTAGATTTACCAAATCTCATTTTTCTAGAAAAGCAGCAATTTCAGCTACACTGTTACTCCAAGCAGTACTAAAGCCTAACTTGAGAAAAAGCTGAACTTCCTCAACAACTGCATTTCACAAGGTGCTCGGTGCGGGGCCAAGGTAAGAGAGAACTTGGGAAGCAGCAGCAAGAGAAATTCTGTCCACAGCAGAAGACAGCAGCAGACCAGACAAAAAGAGAGAAATGGTATCTGAAGTCAAAAGGGAGATGAGGGAATAAGATCAGATAGTAACAGAATAAAGAAGCAAGATGTAAATGTCAGTGTTCGATGTAACAAAATGTGCTTTTACTCATATTGTGGAAACATTTTGAGCTTGATTTCATTTGGATTCTGCTAGTTTCTTAAGCTATAGGAGAAGTGACACTGGAAGGCCTAACTTCATGCCAAAATCCTACTGTCTGTGCAAAATTACTTTTTAAACTTCAAAATGAAGACTCCCCTCCTGCCATTCCCAGGGTTTTATACAACCACAATGTCAGTGACTACACAAAAGAAGCTCACTCTGGGATAAGTTAGGACTCTGGTTAATTGTCTTCAATAAAAATGACAAAGCTGGTTTCCATCTCCACCAGCCCAAGTCAGTCCCTCTCTACGTTCACCTGAACACTGATCTTTGAGTCAGAAAGAACTTCCACCCCATTCCATCCCTCTTCTGTCATTCACTGTTTGTCATTTGTCTCAGTGTGCTTTGGGTAAATAATTGATCTAATGCATTTATTTATTTTAAGCTTAACAGACATTTGTTTCAAAACTGAAATTCTTTGTAAAATTGTCTATTTCACAGATGGTGAAGTTTTGATACCTTAACGACAGAATTTTACACAGCTTCTTGACACATAGGAGAGGGATACGGGAAAGAAAAGATGATGCTGCTTCTGCTGCAAAATAGCACCGCATACACTGGCAAACCCCACCTCACTAACTGATCACAACTTTCCACACCGTTAATATGAAATGAAAAAAATCAATTGTTATTGTTCAGTCATTACCTCCCATGAACTGATGTACAAGTGTCCAACATGGCAGTGAGTTAATGGTAACCCAAAGCAGTTGCTGGTCGGCAGAAACAGGCTTCAGCCACACCTTGTAGGTGCCCCAGCTCTCTCCAGCCTCTCATCAGAAGTCCTCTGCCTGCTGCAGGTGCAAGTAAAGTAATGAGAAGGGCACCTGCCATATTGCAATCACCTGCTGCAAGTTCTTCACAAGCAAGGTCATGTGAAGGTCAGTCAGATTCTGCACAGATACCACAGAAGAAACAGAGCATGTTCTTTTTAACTGCCATTCATTGTAGCCTCAGTGAGCAAAATTGCTTCTCCCATAATGAAATAAAAAAGCCAAAATTACACATCAAAACACAAAATCCTGTGATACCATGTAAATGCTACCTGAGAAAGATCCACGTTCCAATCGAAGAGCCTTTATATTTCAGGAGAAAGGTACACACAAGTCCCACCAAATCCATCTGCTTTGTTACAGAACATTAGAGCTCACTCCATGAAGGAATAAAGAGAACTTTTTTGAGAAAAGTGTAGAGAGAAGAGCAGAATGTGGAAAAATGAGCACGATTACTGCTGGCTTTACTCACAAGGGAAATCTCAGTAAACTAAACAAAGAGTAGCAAAAGCCTCTCTGCTGCATAGAAGTAAAATTAATCTTGCAAAATGAAGTAACACCAGTAACACCAATACAAGAACACTGACAAAAAAATCCAGACATTCAGAAAATGTATGTTTACCTAACATACAGGCCTTGCTTCACTGACTTCAGCACAGCCCTTAACTCAGGACTTTGCTCTGAGTATTTTTTGTTTTCTAAACCAGATCTTCTTGTGGGCTTTGAAGAAAAGAAACAGTAGAGTAGACATTCCTTGAGTAGAGTTAAGTTTTTCAACTGGTAAGTCTTAAATGAACTGAAAGCAGTAACTTCTTGGCACAAAGACTGTGAGAGAGCAGCAAAGGCCAACTGTACCTTAAAAGGAAACAAACTAGCAGCCAACAGCAAACGTAACACAAAATGGGTAGGAACCTTACCAAGAGCACGGTCCCACAGCGCAGGAGCTGGTTGAGCAGAGCAGCAGCGAGTCACCAACAGTCATCAGGAAGACTACAAAAGATATACAGTCAAACCAGAAAACTCAAAGAACAATGCACGATCAGACCCACATTCAGCACAGCTCAAAGAAACAGCTGAGGCTCCACCCAAGAGTTTATATGGCCCCACAGCCATGTGGGTAGGTGCACAGGTGAGGCCAGTCATGACTCAGGGGAACCCAGGTGAAGTCATTAAGGCCTGCTGGTCTCTGATGAAAGCTTCTTTTTAAATTATTCTTCCACTACTACTCTACTAAATTTTTCTCCCTGCATTTATCTATTTGTTTTATGGGGCTTTCTAGAGCTCACCGTTAGGTATCTAACTCAGTTGTGCACACCATTGTCTGCACCACAGAAAAACGCTTCAGTCTAGTGGGAGGATAGGCAGTGGTGAACAGAAGAAAGTATAGTGGTGTTAGCAAGAGATTGATGGGAATTTACAGCTATTAAGGGAGAGGGCTGAAGTACCCCCAAAGCCTCAGTTTGAGATGCAGGACTTGGTCTGAGCACTATGCAAAGAGGAGGGCAGAACAGCTCCACGCACAGCACAGCAGATGTGCCAGTGGTCTGACCTAAGGCTGTTCTCTGTCACCTGGGGCTCCTCAGAAATCCTACAGGTTCCTGCTCTTCCCAGAAATACAGACAACCCAATTCCAGAGTCATCCCTATGTCATATGGTCATCCAAGCATTTAAAATGAAATGAGGATAAGGTCTGACAAACTCTGGGCACGCAGTATAAAAAGATATAAAAATATTAATTAATATGTTATACTAATCTATTATTCATGTGGCTGCACTGGGGAGATACGCTCTTGAAGGAATTAAGCATTTCTCAGATCTTAAGTCTATTTGTTCTGTTTTTTAAGAACTGCAATGTTTATCGAGAGTGGTGCCTACATGACTCAGAAGACAATGAAAAAGCTGTGTTTCTTCACTGCTACACGTGCTTGTGAAATACATCTGCTGGACAGAATAGATACGGTGTTTTACCATGAAGCTTACATCTGAAGAAGTTGCGGGTGTCCAGATTTCATCATATGCCTCCAGAAAACAACTACCTTAAATTTTAAATTGTCAAGATAAAGACTAGTGCACTGTTTAATTATTACTGCCATAAACCAGAGCAATATTTACCTGCCTATAACAGAGCTTAGGAAAATCCACTTATCTCTCTTGCCAGGTGCCACATTTCTCACAGTTATTAATAAAATGATCAGAAATCATTATTTCTGAATGGCCTTTGCCCCACTTTTCTCTGCTGTCCAGTACGCTTCCCAACAAAAGCTGGCTTTGAAATTGGGACAAATATTGCACTTGTTTGTTGGGAAGACAGAAAGAAGCAAAAGCTCTCATCTGCACCGGACCCAAGCCATCGCACCAGCAGTAAACCTCAATTCCTCCTGCCTCCTGTGGCAGTTAAGCCAATGCAGTGGGCATTATGTGCCGCTCCTCTGTCCCCCAGCTCCCAGGCAGCCCTCGTTCCTGGTTCTGCTAGGAGAGCCCCCCAGCAGGACACAAAGTGCCATGCTGAGCCGCTTGCTTTTGCTGCCTTCCACTTTGCATTAGCAGCCAGCTCAGGTGCACCCACACAAGGCAGGGCAGCGGGAGGTGAAGCACATGTCTGGTGTCCCTCAGGGGGAGAGACTGGGAGAAACTCATCAGAGTACGCGGGGTGTTTCAGGACGCAGGGTCCTGAGGTGTAAGATTTACTGCATCCAGTCTGCCTCAAGTGAAGGTGCAGGGCCTTTTTTGCTTTTGGTTTTTGTGAGGGGCTTGTTTTTTGCAGGGAGCAGAGGGCATTACTGTTCTCCCTGCACATATCTTGAAAAAACAGATAATCTAGCTACCAAATTCAAAAGATTTTATGTGCCACTTAACATTCACTTTAGGACTCTTTCTCCTCTCCTCCCTCCAAGGGAACATATTCCTAATATTTTATTAATAATGCTCTAAGGAGAAGCTGCTTTCTGCTCCTGAGTGCTGTGTACGATGACGGATGAGTTCACAACACCTGTTACTGGTACATACGTGGAAGTAATTTCCCCTTGCCCGTTCCACAGAAATCTGTTCTTTTCTCACATAGTCAAATACCCTGTTCCTATTTCTAGCAAATAGCTGCTAGATAAGCTTTGAAAAGGTTTTGTAATTAATTAATATCTTTTTTCTTTGTATGCCAATAAGTTAGATTATTGAAGGAAAGTATTTGTGCAAGAAATTAGAATTGAAGCTGCTTACATAGATATAGATAGACAGACAGGCATAAAACTTGCCTAGAAAAGGCTTGCCAAGAAGGTTGATTTTCTTCAGTGCAGAAAGTTAGCATGAAATCGTGCCCCACCACAGCTTACCCCAGCTCTGCTTTGGTATTCAGTTAAGACCAAAGGAGGACTTCAGTAATCCACAGCTGCACAGAGCTGAGTTTTCTTCCTAAGCACTCCTGAAGGCTCCCCTATTGCTCATTTAACCTTGGGAGTATTTCCAGACATCTGTATTTACCTACTCCTCTGGATATTCACTTATCAGCAGAAATATTCACCTAAAAAAAAAACCAAAACTTTTTCTAAGTAATTATCAGGGAAAAATCACAAGAAGCAATTTTATAATTTCTACAGTTCACCTTTCCTCTTCAAATATGGTTTCTGTTCAATTACGTTCATCCAGTCAGAGAAGATAAACTTATAAGAGATGAAAATATTCCAAAAGATTAAAGTAGTCACGGGAAAAGATTTGCATTGTTAACACCTGTGAAGAACTCACCAAGCTTCTGTCCAACACAGCTGAATTTGAATATGCTGAAAATCACAAGTAAGGAGTAGCACACAGTGACATGAACTTTTAACATCATTACAATTGATTACTGAGGTGATAAGCATGACACGTTTTTATATACTGGGCTGCTCCAAAAGTAATGCCTCCAATTTTACTGTATCAGTCGGCAGTGTCAGAGGTGTATGTTGGCTCCCACCAGCATTCCATTGCATTTTCTGGCTGCATGACAGATGGCAGTAGAAGAGCAGTCTGAAAAAATGGTATCTGACATGCAGGAAAAATGGCATCCATTGCCATTCATTGATGCTTGCTGAATACTTATGGAGACCAAACTGTGGATGCAGCAAAATGAGGCAACGGATGGTGCATTTCGGCACTCTCCATTGCCAAAATGCTGGGTCACCTCCGCAGACTGTTGTAAGTGTGACATGCAGGCTCTTGTTCCTCCCTGGAGAAAATGCGCAGCTAATATTGGTGACTGTGCTGAAAAATTATTTTTTTTTTGTAGCTGAGAATTTGCTCTATGAATAGTGTTTTTATGCTATTTGTCCCTACTGTAGTTTTCATGGAAAAAAATAGGAGACATTACTTTCAGAGTGGCCTACAAGTATGTATGGATACATAAGAAAATAAGCAAGACAATTAACAGTGCAATCATACCACATGACCAAACAGTAACTGAGAATGAGCTGCTGGAAATAATCTCATAAATTAGAACTGTTACATTTCAGTACCAGAATTGTTTCACTGATAACCCAAAAGATGACCAACAGGTATATCAGATTTTCTTAATTTCTTCCACAGAAAACTGTATTTTCAATTCCAGTTTTGCACATGCAAAATAATACAAAGTTCACGATGGTGGAGAAAATACAGTGAAGCATGCAAAAGAATTTTAAATGTCTGTGGTAGGCCAGGAGGAATGGCAGAATGACTGAAATGAAACTTTTACAGAGTGATTTCCAGATAAAGGAATAAGGCTTGTAAATGTCCTCCCACTTAAACAAAGCTGCAGCTGAAACCAACTGGCCTACTGTCAGGACCAGGTAACAGCTCACACCTGGTGGGCACCATGCTGGGCTCAATGCCACATTTGCCCTGGACTTTCAGTTATATGAGGGTTCTGTCCCTCACTTGATGACTGTGCCAGGCTGTCTCAAACCCAGGCGGGGTTTGAGACTCTTGGAAGAGGTCACTGTTCATTGGTCTAGCTGTTTCCAGAGCTTCTTAACATCCTCACATGCCCAGATGAAATGCTATGAGAGAAAAATGTCCACAAGAGGAGAAACTCCTAATTCCATTTGTGTGATAAATGGTTGCAAAATAATTTGATGTACAAGAGTCAAAGGAGGGATCGTTGCCAAGCTTTTGAAATCAGGTGCCTTTTCTTTGAGGGACATTTGATTGAGGGACAAACAAGGGACAATTTCATCATACAAGAATGGGCAAAATAAAGACAGTAAACAGTTTTCAATTAATTATCTTTATCTTCCTGAAAGACCTGCTAAATATACAGAGATGCCAGATCATGGACTGATACAGATCGTCCTGGAGTTCTCCTATGAGTTTATTTTTTCCCCTTCGGACTCAGTATAAAGAAAGGCAAAGAAAGTCTGTCTGGTCATGCACCTGGCACACATTCTTGTATCCATGGAGACAAAGTATCAGAAAGGAGAAAAAGAACATTTTTAAGTGACCCTGACATTTGATACTGATGCAAAAACAAGGAAAGGAATGACCTAGTTGGAAGCCAAAAGCATGAAGTTTCTTCATTTCCTATGATTTAGTATCTCTCTCCCTCACATAGGGCAGATTCTTTTATAGACACTCCAGCATATGGGCCAGTGGAGCTCCAGCAATGTCTCCAAATGGCACAGTAGAAAGTTTCAAGCCTTACATTCAGCTTTTCTCTTTTAGCTCCTGTCCTGGAAGACATTCCAGGTTGCTTTATTATTATTATTACTATTATTTGATGGAATAAATGATTAGTTTGTATCTTTATGAACAGAACTTAAAAGCGATTTGATGATTAGATGAATTGGAATTGACAGAGAGACCAATTCGTTAGGTTTGTATTAAAACTGTGGTAAAAACTGGCTTCTAGCTTCCAGACAATTTAATCAGATAAAAAATATCAGTGACTTTGTAAAAACACCCATAGAGTCTGTTTAACCAGACTTACAAATTATTTTTTCCCATAATAAATAGAAAGATGTGTTTACATTGCCTGCTTTTGCTTTTAAAGCATCTCATAAACATTACAAGACAATAATTCACAGCATTCTGAGAAGTAGCCCGGC